CCCCGTGCGGGGCAATGGGGAGACACAGCTGCCTCAGAAGATGCCACAGACAGAAATGCAGACAGACAGCTGTCCATAAAGAGGGCAGTGCAAGGGTTGCACTCTGGAAGGAGACTAACGCCAGGGTTCCCCAGATTTCACTGTGCACAGCTCCCTGGATCTCAACATGCTTGGTGCCATATTCGGCTGTAAGTTGTTATTGTAACGGTTAGGTATTTGTTTTAATACATAATGAGAAAATGTTAATTTTCCACTTGTGATAGTATAGTTTCTTTCTTAAATAAATGTGACATTAAAAAAAGACACATTGGAGTGACGTGAAGAAAGTCATAGGCCCCTGTGGCCAGTCCTGTAGGCTGCATCAGGCAAAGATGTCTAAAGATGGGGATATCTGTCCCCTTCTGGGGTGATTAGGGGGCCACGTGCTTCACATGGAGATAAACAGCGTCTCCCAGACTGATATTCTGTGCTTGTCCTTCAATTCACAGAGTACTAATGTTTTAGTGTCTCTTTGCTGGCTCTGAGCCACTGGCCTTGTCCTCTCCTGACCTTATGAGTGCCCTCCTTTGGTTTTTTGATCTTATGAGAGGTCACCTCACTTCGAAAGCAAGATGGAGGACACTTCCCACGATCCTCCTGGTGTTGGAAGAGTGTCTGTTAGTTGTCACTTTCATGGTGGTGACCATCCACCATATTCCCCATCATTCAGGTCTCCAGTGTGCCTGAGTCTGCAAACAACACCACTTAATAACTAATAGCTTCATCAGGAACTTCCTTCGGTTCCTGTTCTCCTGTGGAGGAAGAACATTTTCTTCTTAAAGCCACAGCCTTCAAGTTTATAATAACTTACAGACAGCATTGCTGGTTCGGTGGTAGAATTCTCAAATTTATAATAACTGTCCATGGGAGGATAAGGCTGAGGAGAGGCAGCACGGATGCCAGTTCCTCTAGAAAGGCTTGTCATTCGAGCTTGCTGGGTGATGGCCTCCTCCATGTGGACTCTGGAGGCGGAATCAGTACAGCTGCACACCGTGCCCCCGTCCATTGACCCTGCTCCCTTCTGCTCTGTTTGTAGAGCTGGGGAGCTGAATCTGAAGGCTGTGGATGAATTCTTTGCTCACGTGGCTCTAGGTCTTTCCATTTCCTGGTGTCTATTGTAAGTGTATTAGTTATCATTGCTACCTAACAAGTTGTCCCAAAACTTAGCAGTGGAAAACAAACATAAATGCATGTCTCATACATTTTCTGAAGAAATCACGGATATACAAGGAAAGCCAAAGTACTGTCAGTTTTTTCAGATGAAGTTTTTGCTCACCGATATGCTTATATTTTATATAAGTTGAGGGGAATCCAGAAGTGGTTTAGCTGGGAACTTCTGGCTCAGGGTCTCCTGTGAGGCTGAGTCAGGATGTCCACCAGCGGGAAGGCTGATCTGGGGTAGGGATCTGCTTACAGGCTCACTCACATGGCTGTTGGCTGTAGGCCTCGGATTCTCACCACATAGGCTCTCCATGGGGTGATCGTGACATGGAAGTTGGCTGCTTCCCAAATGAATGATGGCAGGGGGAGAGAGAAGGAGGGAAGCTGCAGTGTCTTTTGTCTCATCTCAGAAGTGACACATCGACTCTTCTACTGTGTTCTGTCTGACACACAGACCAACCCTAAAATGATGGAATGCTGAGACTTCCTCTGGGTCCTGACAGATTCTGATAACATGCTGTTTTAAAATCATACATGCATATAATTCATAGGGCTATGACTGGAGGTCAGTGCAGAGGGGCCATTTCTATTGTAAGAAGGATCTTTTCCTGAGAGAAAGGCCAGGTCATATCGAGTGGGACCCCCTGTAGGGCTTGGAGGGAAAGCCAGATTTGGCCAGGTTGTAGGTGGAAGAAAACAAGAGGAGGTTAGAGGCACGACCGGGTGGTCCTTGGGGAAGGCCAGGCAGGACAGAGTGAAAGCTTTAGGGCTTTGAACAATTCAGGTGGGCTCTGGCCCACAGGGATTGTCTCTAGCTGTCTGGTCCCTGGCCCTGGGAGGATTAGGGATGGGACCCTGCTTGGAGAAAAGGGATGAGGCCTTGAATCAGCTTGAAAATCAAAAATGTAGGCATACTTTTTTTTGCCCTGGTCTTGTTGATTGTATAATTACGGAGTGTTTTTCATCTTTTGCTAAGCTTAAATAATTTGAGTGGGCCACTCAGCTACCCTGTTGCTACTGCTTGGAGAAGAAAGCCCGCCTTGTGTTTGGGCTTCCTGGTAACTTACCTTCCTCTTCATTTCTTGTCCTTTCCTTTGCTCCAAGCATCTTGCCACACCTTTTGTGTTCTGCTTATCTATCTATTTGGAGAAAATCTCTATCCAAAACCGTGTAATATTTAGATTTTATTTGGTACACAAAACAATCAAATCTTGCTGAGGGAGTTAAACTCTCTCAGGAGAAAGTCTAGGGTTAGAGGTTAAATAAAAGCTCCCCACCACTCGGCCCCAGTAAGCAACTGGCTGGTTCAGAGGACAGGATGAATTCATAGCAACTGAAGTACAAAAACAACTAAATGCTTGTTTTGTTTGATTGATTTTGAAGGCCTAAGGATGGTAGTCAGAGCATCTATTAAGAGGATAACAGTAATGCAATATAGCGAACAAGGGGGATTTCCTTCTGCCTTGTTTTTGAAATCCAGTATTGTTCCTGTAGTTTTGTTCTGATTTATTTAATGTTCTGTTTTAATTGATTTTATTCTGAGTTTTATATTTGATTTTACCATGTCTGATGGTATGGCCAACTATTGTGAAGATAACAGGAGGAATTATGGTAGCCATTGTAGAGTTCTTATTACCCTGTTTTGAGGTTCTCTGCCACTTTGACTGTTTTGTTTTGATTGGCTTTGTTCTGTTTTGTTAGGTTTTATTCTTTTTAAAATAGATAGATAGACAGACAGACAGATAGATAGATAGATAGATAGATAGATAGATAGATAAATGGAAGCACAACACGGAGGGCAAAGGAATTGCTCTGTTTATGGGAAAATCCAGCAAAACCAGTGCAATTTGACCCAGTCTTGTGAGGAGCTAGCAATATGCATACAAATGAAGAAAGTAAAATGCAAGTTGGCCATATGTATCCGAGGCTGTGTGATTTTCCTCTCCCTTTCCTGCTGGGATGTTGTGGGGGAGGGAACCAGCCCAGGAGAGCTGGAGCTGCCATCGGGATAAGGAGGACTCACACTTGGGCAGCAACACGCAGTGCTGTGCCCGTGGGTCTCGCTCCGGAAGGAGACAGACTTTGCTCTGTTAAGTTACAATCAGATGCCTACGGGTCCCTCCCGGGACAAAAAGGTGAGATGCTACCACAGCCTACGTATTTAGGAGTAAAACTGGTTTCAGTCTAGTATAGAAAAGGATGTATAATCCTAGGAAAGAACATTTAGGATGAAGTAAAGAGCGGAGTACTGTCCAGATCTCAGTGCAAAATCACGTTGTCTCTTTCAAATTTGCTAACATTGAAGGAATTACGAAACTGGTCCTTGAATTTGTATTTCTCTACAGCTTGCTTCACATCAATACCCTGTGCTTAATGGAAGTTCTGGGTAATAGTTCTGCTTAGCTGTTGGAAAAGCAGTGTTTGGAATACAATGGAGAGAATTAATGGGAAAACATCCCTCAAAAAACAGTAGTTTTAGGGGTCCAGGACTGTTTGCCTCCTAGGCCATCAATAGCCACCACCCCTTCCTTGACAGTGACCAAACTTTTGAGGCCATGGAAGTGGTCATGAAAGCCGAGAGGCCCTCGAAGTACCTCCTTACAGATGAAATTTACAGAAACCTGCAAATGTCCCCTGTCTCTCAGACACTGAAAAACTGTTGATGGCAACCTCTCTTGCCAAAGCTTCTGCTCACACTTCCTTCACAAGCAGCGCACTCCAGTAAGTGACACCACCAAAGTAGGGGACAGGCTCTCTGGAGAGTCTCGCACTCACACAGGGCAGGGAGTACGCGTTACAGGAGGCACACATATTTGGGGGGAAAATACCGTGCTGCAATTCTTGCAATCTCTGCTGGAATTTGGGTGGTAGAGTTCCCCTTGCTTTCCTCTGACAAGTGAGGTTAGTGAGTTTCCTGGCCTCTCCTGAGCCTCTCAAAATGGCTGCTTCAAAGGACAAATTCAGCTGAAAGACCATCCGGGTCCTGATGCAGGGCTTGTCGCTAATTAGCACTTTGACATTTTTACTTGCAAATCAGCAGGATCGGAATACGCTGTCCCTAAAGCCCACTACAGCAGTGACCTGTCCCTATTTCATTCTGGGGTAAGCCAGTGAGTCACGTGTACCTGTGAGGGTGGTACTGTGCTTTCTGGTAAATCTAAACCCAGAGTTGAAGCTGGTGGTCAGCTCTGGCTTGCAAATGTGCTTTATTTACACTCCCCTGTGTTTTGAGTTTTTAATTAATTGCCAGAACTTAAAAATAAGGAGATGCATGTTCGTCATTTGTAGCACATCTCAAAAATTCTGGCTCTGGCCATACATGGTCCTCATCCTTAGGCGGCAGCCCCCTCCAGAGTGGGCATACTTGGCCCATGTTGTTCATGCCTATGCTCTCCTGACTGCTGCAGAAATCTGAGTTTGCAAGTTCCTTTGAAAACTTTCTCTATTTCCTGTATCACATAAGACAATGACACTCGGTAAAGAACACAGATATTCAAGCCCATGTCAAGCCCGTTTTTCTGCCACTTGAGCTGCCTCAACAAACGGATTTGTGTGAGTGCATGAGCTGTGGACAACCCTGTCTGGTTTGTTCATGAATAGATAGGAGGAACAGCTGGAAGCTGAACATCTGGTGATGGTTCTAGAAGCTCCCTGTCAAGGTGGCTGTGGTAGAGATGTACAGAAAGGCTGTGAGAGATTCTACATGAACATCTATGTGCATGAGAGGGATGAGACCAGAGAGAAAAAGAGGCTTGTGGAGTTTTCAAGTGTCTTTCCTGCTTCCATCTCTTAATGTCCAGGTCCGTGCCACAAACGGCGGGTGAATGGCTGCTGTACCCAGCTGGGCTCCCTGTCGGCCCTAAAGCATGCTGTCCTGGGCCTCTATCTGCTGGTCTTTCTGATTCTGGTGGGCATCTTCATCCTAGCAGGTAAGAGCAGCCCTTTTCTATGCTGGCCTTCTGGGATGAGAGGGACGCTCTTCTCTCCCACTGTTTGGAGCCCAAATGCTGCCCTCGTCACCATAGAAACCACCAAAGAAGCTGACTTGACAGGGCTCTTTGGTAGCCCTAGTCATTTTATTTGGGATGGCGACAGGGAATACATGAGCCTGCAGGATCTGGGTGTAGTGGTGGAGAGCCAGCTGCTTTGTGTAGCTTCTGACTTCTTCTGTCCTTGTGGGACATGGATTGCACTGGGCCTCCTTGGACCTCTGGGGTGTGATTCACATTGGGTCTGGAGGACTGCATCTTAGGTCCCCCTCTCAGGATACCATGAAAATAGTCACAAGGTGCCATGCTGCTGAGGCATGGTAAACCTTTGCATGGTAAACTACTAGGGGTAGAATCAGTTCACCCCAGTTCAGCCAGGCTCTCCTCCCCGATCCTGGGGTTTGGAACACATTCTTTAGCTAGGGAGAAAGAGTTCATGGACCAAGGAGGGGATCATATGAGGGGCCTGTGGATCTTGTGTTTAGAAGCAGTGCCCCCCCCCACACACACACACACCACAGTCCCCCTGGCAGTCCCCTGGGTTGGAGCCATACAGCAGAGGCTGTGGCTGCCCCCTAGTGGTTTCCTCCCATAACTGGGTCCTCTATTCCCATCCTTCTCCCTGGAGATCTCTAGACTTGACAACACAGGTCCAAGGGATCAGTTTATCTCGATTCAGCACATCTCATGTGAGACTCTACCTCTTGCCAGGCTCTATGTCGGGATTGGGGTCGCAGGGCTTTTCAAGGAGCCTCTAGCCTACAGACCATGAGAGGATTAGGCAGATGAAGCCATCTCAAGATGGGACACAGGGGGTGCCATGATGGGGCTGGGGGTACAGAGGGGGCATGTGGTCACGTAGAGACTGCAGCAGTGGCTGGGAGGAGGGTGGGGTTGTCAGAGTATAGCTGCCCGCCAGGCAGAGCTGATCTGGTGTGCGAAGGGTGGGGTCCTGAGTTAACTCTGGGGCAGGCATCAGAAGGTTCCACCCCTCAGATGACCCTTTGCTGGAAATCCTGAGGCAGATGCCCAGGACCTCCTTGGTTGGGACTCAATGTCCGTCAAGTAGGTCTAGTCGCTTGGGCATTGTAATGACATATGCAGTGTGGCTGTGCCTTCAGGTCTCTGCACTCAGGGGATCAGGCATGCCATCTGTCTCAAGAACCACAGACCTGCAGTAAGGGGTGGGGAGCAGCCAACAGCAACAATAAGAGAATGTCATAATTCATCCCGGGGACCAAAGGACAGTGTCCAGCAGATCTATCATGGGCTGAGCCAGCCACGGGATGATTTGAACATGTTCTTGGGTTTCTCAGTGAGAGCTTAGGATCTGGCTTTTGTGGGTTTGGCTGCCAGGACCATAACAAATTTCTGGAATGTTTGGAAAGCATTTCAGCCCAGCAGAGAAACCAGACGATGGAGTTACAACTGTTCTGCAGACCAGGAACTTTTAGGTGACGAAAGGGGTCCAGTGGGGAGACACAGGGCTGGTGGAGGCCTTGGGACAGAGGCCTTCAGTCCTGGAACAGCATCACCTCCTCCTGGGGAAGAGGAAACTTCCAGAGGAGGAAAGTTCCCTGGTGAAGTCTGAAAGGTTTCCATGTGGGAAAGTGAGACTATCCTGTGTGACCTCAGGGCATAGCTAGGACGAATGGGCAGAAATTATAAAGAGACAGATTTCCATTCAAAATAGAAGAGTGGTTTGTTTCACTAGTTGAGCAGTCCAACATGACTCTGAAAGACTTTCGCTGGCTTGGAGATTGAATGGGATTTACGATGACATCTTGGAAGTGTCGGGAAGGAGGATGAAACATGGTTTCCCAATGTCATGAAAATGCTGTGTGAAATCTGTGTGTCCTTTAGTCATTCCAGGAGGAAAACAGGAAGATGTTTTTCTTCACCATTTTAGTCGCCTTTAAACCTAAATTTTGGGACACTGCATTGTCAGTGTAGAATGGAAAATCTGGCAGGATTGGAACTGATATGAGGAAACGTGTGTCATACTTTGTTCCTTGGCTCTGATGTATGGTCACTGTCACTTCCCCAGGTTGTTATCTGGAAGTCATGTTGGCCCCTGGGAGAAGCATGGTGGGGATGACAGGTGAGAAAGCAGAATTCATAGCTACCGCTCCCACAGGGAGGGGAACATGGTGGACAAGTCTCCTGCTCCCGAAGGGGGCTCTGCCTGGTCTTAGGAGATTCTTCAGATCACCTGACTAGAAACCTCCAGCAATGCTCCCTTCCTGCAAATATCAAGATAGCAGACATCCCTGGTTCAGGGGGAACTAGAGCTGGATTTCTTCTAATGAACTAGAGCCGACCTTCTTGTTGGATTTCTATGGTAGGAGCTCCCTCCTCTTGTTGCCCATACTTGGACAAGTCATCTTGCCCAAGATAACCATCTGAGTCACTCTTAAACTTCAAAACCTGTCACCACAAATCTCATATAACCTACTGCTAGGCGACAAAATGATCCATTGTGGCAAGTGCCATATCTCATAGCTGACTGGCAACATCTCATGGGCGTATGCCTGCTCCTACTATTCCACTATTCAAAAATTATAACTTCATTGTGCCAAAATAGCACTCTTATAAGTTCTCTAGGATTTCTCGTGAGTCATCTCATTGCCCAAATGTTCAAAATAACAAGCAAACATTGTACCATCTGTCTATGCATTGCCCTAACCTACGTGGTCAGAAGACTAATCCAGCCACCACTCAAGTGATACCCTCGGTTGGCCTTTCTGCCTTCCATCTAACCATCTGCTCCTGGAATTGTCCTTAGACAGTATCATCCCATCCCATCCCACCCCACCCCATCCCATCCCACCCCATCCCATCCCATCCCATCCCATCCCATCTCATTGTGTTTTTATTCTGTTTGAGATTCATTGTAGACAGCACAGAACACTGGGTTTAAACTCATGAACAAGAGAATTGAGCGTGGATAGTTGTGTGGTCAGGAAGTTGCCAAGAAGCTCTTCAGGAAAGATGTTCTCTGTGGTGAAGTTAAAGGGGTGGAGGATGTCTCTGTGACTATTTTGGGAACCACTGCAGTGATGAAGAGCAGTCATCAAGAATTGTCTCTCCCTTCCCTTTCCCGTGCTAACATAAAGGACCTAGTTAGGGGGGATGCTGCAGGATTATAACAACAGAAAGATCACCTGGACCAGGCAGAGTTCCTGGTGAGATGCGGGGGTGTCCTCTCACACCTTCATTTAACTGTTTTTAGCAGTGGCTGCCAGTCATCATCATTGACATCTTCAGCACGCACTTAACTTGTGCATGGGTGCCAGTTGGTACAGACAAAGGGACAGGCCTGGGAATACAAAGTCATGAGGTGGGACAGATTTTAAACCACACACGCATGAGCACACGCATGCGCACATGCATGTGCACACACACACACACACACACACACACACACACACACACACGGGCTATATGATTTAGCTCACGCTACATGCTAAAGAATGCAAAGGAAATCCCAATTCCTGAGGGCTGGAGTCTTAGGGACAGCTCAGCCTGGGGAAGAATTGGCTGATGTCATTTGAACTGAAAGTCCCATTCTTTTGATCACCTTGATTCAAGCAGGCCAACCCCTGGACTCTACACTCGGAATAGCACGCTCAGAGCCCACTTACTTTCTACTCTAGATTCTGAATCTGCCCTGCATGCTGGAAACCAGAGTGTGTCATTTTTCAGAAACCACTCTGTGACATTTCATCCTTGTGGTTATCACAGGGATGTCCTCGAGGGTTCATGACCTTATGGAACGCTGATTTCCGAGGACCCGTGAGAAATTGATTTGTCTCCATTGGAGGAGGAGGCCCACACTTCTTTTTTTTTTTTTTTTAATTTTATTTAAGGAGAAAAGAAAAAAAAGCAAAGAAAGGGTACAAGTTATACAGATTTGCAGAAAAAAATGAACAGTAGGAAATCACTAGTTAATGGATTACATATTGTCATCTTAGAAATAATTGTTCAAGTCACAAAATTAAAGCTTGTAAAGTGGACATTCCATCAATGATACTGCAAACAGTTCTGTTCAATGATCCAATAAAACTCTGTGATATCATTTTCTATCTTATACACTTAAATATACATGCAGTTATATAGTATAGAGCACTTTCTTTTCCTCTCTTTTGTACAATAACAATTACACATTTTGGGTTTCATTGCTCCCATGGTTCTTATTACTTTTTTGGAAGAGAGTAAAACCAAATGTGACATAACAGAACAGAATCGGTCAAGTCAAAAGGGTGGACATAATAGATGATGTGAAAACATAATACAAGGTGATCAACAATGGTTACCATAATGCTTCCCGCTATCTCTAATAGAATTGAGGCCCACACTTCTTAGGGACTAGTTCCTTTTCACCTTGAGACTGTGAATCTAAGAGTTATGAAATCTCTTGGAAGGAGGTAATCAGCACAGGCTGAGAGTCAGCTGCTGGCCATTGCACCTTGCACGGGTTCAGATGTAACGAAGGGAAAGCCAGGAGCCAGCCTGTGCTCCTCCCGGTGCGAGCCTGCATCCTGTGGTATCTGTGTGTGAGCCTCGTTCTGGCCTCGTTTTCTCTCTCTCTGATTAATGTACTTTGTGTAAACTGCCTTGGTCTCTTTGGGACAAGGAAGGGTGTTGTGACAGTTTTACCTTTAAAAAAGTTCTGCCTGTTCTATTTGATTCTTTAAGTGCATATCATTTTAAGTGTGTGAATAGATGAACAAATAAATGAGGGAATGATGAAGACAGGGGAGCTTAGAAATGTCTTCATGGAAAAAAAGATTATTTCAGTTTAATCAAGTATCTGAAGGATGTGAAAAGTGAATTGTCATGTAAGGACATTTGGCCAGGAGAAGAAACCGGTGTGTAATTAATTATATTAATATCCACTCACTGTAGCATCTGTACTGACATTGCAGCATTCAGAAAGCATATCAGGACAGGGTAACTGGTGCAGTACTTTATTCTGGTATGAGACTGGACTTTAGTGCCAGGCTCTCTGGGCCTGACCCTGGCTTCTCCATCACTGTGTGATATTGACCAAGTTTCCCAGTCTTTCTGGACCTGAGTTCCTCCATCTGACAGCAGAGGAAGCCGGGCTCCTGGCTGCCTTGCCAGGTTGTACCAAGGGTTAGATAAGCCAGTTTCTCTAAATCACTTAGATAAAGCCTTGCGCTACAGCTTTGGCCCTACTGTTTCTTTTTATTGGTTTTCTGTACAGTCGATTAGGTTTGCTAATGGCTTGATAAACAGATTTAGTCTCAGATCAACTGTAATAACCCATAATTTTGGGAACATCACTATCCCCTTTGAATATTAGTACACTCATTTGTGAAATTAAATAGTCTGGATAAGATCTATGTGTCTTTTCTGACCACCATCTAGATGCATTTCACCTCGCATTAGAGGACACATGTAAACATAACTGAGATAATATTTAACTGTGTGAACAGCAAACTGATGATTTACTCTGTTCTACTCATTTTTTTAAGTGACCACAAGCTACCCACTTATTTACAATTCACTAATGAGACACAAGCTGTAAGTCTAAAAAACCCAACAGGCTAAATGATGGCTCTCTTCTTTTTCTTGAGTTTCAAACATTCTAAGATAATCACTGAATTTCCATCAGGTTCTGGGCTTTCAGACTAAGCTTCTAGGTTCCAGTCCAGGCTGTGCCCTGGAATGGGGCTGCCATCTGAGGGCAAATAAGGTCACCTCTGAGGCCACTGTTTCCTCATTTATAAAATGCTATGCATCCTATAGGACTGTTGCAAAGATTAGACAAATGGGGGAAAACTTTTAGTCCCTGGCACTAAAAGGAACTCAGTAAATAGACATTGTAATTAACACAATGGGAGGAATTTTGCTTTCAGGGTAACAAAAGACTGGAGGCTTCTTGCTTAGCCCAAGTTACTGTCTGTGAGTAGGGACACTGCGCCCCCTGTTCCTAATTAACACCCAGGGGAGCCCAGAAACATCGTCTGAGGGGTCCCAGACTGGCTGTAACAATTCAGGGTGAGCCAAAAAACAAGTCGGCATTTCCAGCGCTGCGATTCCCTCCAAACAGGGAGTCACTTGAGCCAGCTCGGGGTGCCAGTCTTGCCCATGGCACTGAGGCCCAGCCTTGGAAGGGACCTCAGAGCACGTCCTGTGCAGCAGCCTCCCCAACAAGGCAAGAACCCCCATCACAACTTCCCTGGCTGGCAGAGAATCATGCTTCCACCCAGGAGCAGCCAGGAGCAGCAAGCTCCCCTGAACCTCCCTGGCACTGTTTCTGGTTCTCTCAGGCACGTGACAAGGTTCCATCCTCATCCCATGACTACTCATCAGCAAGGTGAAAATGCAGACTGAATGGGCCCTTCTTTCCCAAGGGGGCAGCTCCTCAGACCTGGTTTGGGGAATCTCCCGATGTGGGAGCCTCGCTCCTCACACGTTGCTGCATTATACTGAGATGACTGGTGTGGGGCTCTGCTCCCCTGACAACTTACTGCAGCTCTTCCTCTTGGTGCTCCCAGCACCATGTGCATAGCAGGAGCTCCATGAATGCTTGAACTAAACATAACAGCCACCCCTCTCCCCAGTCTGAGTAGTAAATAGACACTATTCCTGGGTGGTGTGGCCAGCCCAGGGCACACTGGACTGGGGCAACTGTGAGTTGGGTGCTAGATGCTGCTGCAGGCTGAATTTGCATTACCCTTTCTGGAGATGCCTCAGAGGGACACAGGGACACTGTCCCAGGGTTGGACTGCCACACGGCCCCTCATGATCATGTTGGTTCTCCTCCCACCCAGCCCCAGGTCTCTTCAAAGGACACATTGTCCATTCTGGGTCAGGACAACTGGGCTTGTTGGTTTTGTTGTGGCTTCAATTTTAATGTAGTGTCATCACAGTAAAATGTCATCACACAGGGCCCTGCTGAGGATTGCAGCCTGGTATATCAACTTGACTGTGTCACTTAGCTTTTCCTTTTAGCTTTGGGCCATAGTCATGTTTGAGCCAGTGTCCCCATCCAACCCCCATTCCATCACCCGCTGCCGTGGACACAGTTCCCAGGAGGAGGTGACTGGGGCGCATTAGTCCGTGTATGCA